GTTTGTAAATAGGATATCATGTCTGCATCTTGTACAGCAAATAACCACTAGGAAGAGAGTATGAAATGTGTTAATTATTGAAACTGTCCTAACAATTTGATTTGAAACTGTCTCATTGCTATTTGTTTCTCAGTAAAATTATGGAGAAAAAATAAATAAATAAAAATTAAAAAAAAAAAAAAAGCCAACGTAGTTTCACCTTGTCCTCCCTTTTCCTGTAGAAGCCAGATCCATGTCGCCCTCTACCAGACAAACTAAACCTCGTACTAGAGTCACCTTCTTCCACTTGGACAGATGTTGTGTTTTAGTTTTATTTAATAACTAAAAGTCTCTAGTATTAATATCAGTCTTTTCAGCTTTTTTTTTACATCATATTGTATCTACTTAAGGGGAGATTTAATTCCTGACCTATGCATTTCACGTCGCAAATCTCTCTCCCTGGGTCTGAAAAAAGAGTGGACTTTTTTTTTGTTTCTCTCTTTCTTTCTTTCTTTCTTTCTTTCTTTCTTTCTTTCTTTCTTTCTTTTCTTTTCTTTCTTTCTTAATAAAGAGTTACGCAATAGTATTAAAACAGAAAAATTATAAGTGATACAGAATTTCATTTAACAAAGCAGTATGAATTTCACAGCATTTGTTGCAATGCATAGTGCTTCCAACCTGTTATTCGTATCCCCAGATACAAAAATACAGAACGCTCCACAAACTTGCGTGTCATCCTTGCTCAGGGGCTGTGCTAAATTTCCCTGTAGCGTTCCAGTTTTAGTGTACGTGCTGCCTAAGCGAGTATTATTAGTTTTCATCCTCTGAGTATAACCACTTTTTCCTTACCGACTAGGCAACAAATTACCATCATATTGCAGAAAAAAAGTGTCCTGAATAGCCTACAGTGAAAATCAGATTAAAAATGTCTTTGTTCCAAATCTGCAAAAATTAATCTGATGTTGTTTTGAACATTCAGTGATCTAACAGACCTGAATGTACTGAATCAATGTGAGTTCATTATCAGCACTCAATGCTATTGAAAAGACTGGGTTGCAGGGAAAGAGGTGAGAAAGTGTATCAGAAGGAGAAAAGAGCAAACCCTGGGGACACGCTGAGATACAGCCTGCTGCTGTGACTCTGAACTATGGACCGTTGACCGAGACACCTGCCAGAGAGCTTTGAAGCAAGGACACATGTGGAGGCTCCTGGTGAGGCCCGCTCTCCCGGTAGGGTGCGGTGAACTTAAGGAACCTGTTCCCATCACCTGAGCTTATAGTATCATTCGAGGCAGACTCACTGAGCACTGTCTTACCTTTTCAGAGAATGAGCATACAGGGATCTCCTCACTTGCAAAGCTGTGCTTACTGATCACATTGCATGGATTTGAGAACTAGTGAGCTGGTATTTTTTCAGTGTTTCAGAATAACCTGAGAAGACTATTTAAATGCACATTCTAAGACCCTAATTCTGATTTGGGTATTCAGGGATGAATCAGATCCAAAAAATTTCATATTTTAATGATATTGGCTCGAAAACAGGAAACAGAACTGCATTACCCTCCACGGTTCCTTTCTTACCCCCATCTTCATTAATACCCTGCTTGCTGCTCTGCCCTTTGCCATCTGAAGTCTGCTCGCAGTGTGGGTTAGGTAGATGCCGCCTAAGCTTTGGTGTCTCTTTCGCGTCTCACAAAATCACATTAATACTTCTTAGCTTCAGACTCTGATTTATCTCTCAGTTTATACACTGCTGATATTTGAACCTGTGCCCTAACAGTTGCCATGCAGTTTCAAATGAGGATATTTGAAGTTGTCACATACCATAAAAGCTAACCAGCAGTGTTTGCTCTATGTGTGGACTCTCTGAGGATTTGGTATGACAATAACATTGCATCCATCTTCGCGGTCTGTGCAAAGCTCTCTAGAATTACCCCTCTGTGTTTCCGTTAACGCAGTTGGTCACAGGTACACATTCCACCTCCAGTGTTCTCCTTTTAGCCTTAATGTGCAAAACTCATTCATTCATTGAATAGGCACTTATGGCCTGGTTGCCACGTGTCAGTCACTGCTGGGTTCTACCAATAGAGTGATGGACACGGCTGTGGTCTAGTTCGGGAACAAACAGGAACACAAAGAGAATGATGAAGGCATTTAAGACCAGTGTTTTGTGGAGATCTGAAAGGTGACTTGGAGAACTAACTTGAATAGGACTGAAGGCCTGCATGGGAGCCAAACACGTGGGCCCCAGCTAATGGCTTTGAAGGTCGGCTGCTTTTAGAACAGAGTGCTGGCCATTATCAGGATTTGTGTTCATGTGATTTGTATTTCAGTTATAAAACTGGAATAACAAATAAATGTTAAAGTAACCCATTTGAATGAGGTTCCTGGATGTTGAAATTGGATGCTTCTGAGTTTAAACCCATCCCTTGCTTAGGTGACTTTGATGTTTTTGTTTGTTTGTTTGCTTGTATTTTAGGGGGCTACAGGGTGTTCAGGGTCTCACTACTAGAACGGACTCCTAGTGGTCCACCTGTGTACAGCCTCACAAGAGCTGGGATCATAGGTGTGCACCACCACACCCAGTCTCAACTGCCCGCTCAGCATGCCCTGGGGCACGGGGCCAGCAGGGCAGGTGGGGGATCAAACCCTGGCCGCTGCGCTTGCGGAGCTCTAATCCGCTGAGTTATTTGACTGGTCCTCGCTTAGGTGACTTTGGATGATATCTGGCCTCTTCAAATCTTGAGCTTCACATTGAGAAAGCAGAAATGCTGATCTCTAAATGTTAAAATTGTGAGAATTAAACATTTTGAGAAGCACCTGCCTCACTATTTGGAACATAGTACATGCTCAATAAACTTTTGTGCATCTCCTGTTCCTGTAGTTTTCAAATGATTAAGTCTTTACTACCTGCTGAGCACTCTGACTTCTGTCTCCAAACTCCGTGCCCTCGGAGGCTTTCCTGCACTATGCCGTTCTCTCTGTCCTCTCCCCGTCCTCGCCCCGCTCTCCCGCACATGCGTGTGTGGCTTAGTTTCTTTCCCACTGAGACTCGTCTTAGCTGCTGCTTTCTCCATCACTCCTTCCCTGATGCTGCCACCGTGTCCTGGGAGCAGCATGACTCAGGTGCTTCCAGAACTCTCCACTTCCTCCGCCGCGCCGCCTCCGGCACCACGAGACGAGCGTGTGCTCATTCCACACCCCACCGGGCTGCACGCTCTTCATGTGTGATTTGCTCTCCCTTTGGTGTCCAGTACTGAGCAGACAGGTTGGCACCGATAAGTTTTCAACAAATATTTTTGAAGAAATGAGTGACGTGCCCACCTTCGACTAATTTCAAGTGAGGAATTCATCCAGTGAGTACACATTAGCCTTTGTATTTGCTTTTTCTTTGAATACTTTTTAAAAATATTTCCTTTAGGGAATAAGTATTTGTCTGGCAAGCTCAAGGTCCTGAGTTCAATCCCTGGTACCACCAAATAAATAAATAAACAAAATAAAATAGCTCCTTTAGTGACTCCTTCAGCTCAGCTGTGGGCGAACACATTGTTCTAGGCATGTTTACACTGGAGTTTTGCCCTGCCATTAA